AGAAATAGGATAATGTAGTGGTTAAACAGGTAACCTCTGTAATTGCAAGTGTTAGATAACTATAGCATGTTGCATAAAACTAAGTCTATATATGTAGAACATAAATGCTCTAATAAGTTTCCTATCAAGAATAAAGTAGTCCTAAGAATACCGATAAGCATTGGGAACTTGGATGGGTGGTGCCTTGAGATGTTCCTATGATACAAGAAAGACTGCATATGCAGAGGGTTTAAATAGGCAAGACTCCTAGTTGGCTTGCAGGTATGACAACTAGTATAAAACTTATATAGTAATGTGTAAGTAGACTACTTAAATTAGGCACCAAAAGTGCATGTGTAGCTAGTTGTAATCTCCAATATAAGGTGATCTCTTGGTGGCATGTCGTGTCATAATATACTTGAATAAAAACATTACAATTCCCAAGATAGGGACTTTAACTTAAAAAGTATATATATATATATATATATCAAGTCCAAAATACAACAAAGTGTTTATACTAGTTTAAAGAAATATAAGTTAGTAAATAATATTGTAGACAAGATAAATTAATTGCAAGAGTTTGCAATATAGTAGTAATAAGAGAAGATTTTTTACTATAAATCTGTTGATGTTTTTGAATATTTTTTAAATGAAATTAAGTAAAAAAATCTTTTATAAAATAATTTTTTTTAAGAAGAGTTAGTACTAATGAGTAATAAAACAAAATAATAAAATCAAAAAATAAATCTTAAATAATAGTAATAATAAGTAAAAAATTCAATTAATCAAATCAAAAATTTAAATAATTTAAAATATATTTATTAACTAATAAATAATATCAAAAATCAAAAATCAAAATCAAGATTATTTTAAAAATTAAAATTTTAAGATAGAAAACAAAAATATAAACTTCTTCAATTCCAAAATACAAAATACAAAATACAAAATACAAAATAATTCAATTTATTTTGAATTAGTAGAGGTATATTGAAAATAATAATTTCAAAATTTTAAAATGTTTTTTCACAATTATTGTTTTCAAAATAAAATTCTTCTTAGAGAAAGAATTGCTTCTTAAAATAGTTTCTTTGAGAAAAGTTTTTGTTTCTTTTCTGAAAGAATTTTAGTTTTTTTTATCAAAAAGCATCAAAATATTATAGGGTTATAGTCTTCTTGGTACAATATAACCAAATAATAAGATCATCTAGTATAATGATTAACTATTACAAATATATACAAAATGGAGATATAGTAGTTTATTTTATTACACAATAATAGATAAATAGTTTGAAATAATAACAATATATAGATTAACTTTATTAAACAAATACAAAGTAATAATCTTGATTGTAAGAATTACTCTAGAAAAGAAATATCATTTTACAAATTAGAAATAAAGATAAGAAGGTCTAAGTTGAAGTATAAGAACTTAGAATTAGCAAAGAAGATAAAAAGGTAATATTTTTATATTTTTTATTTAGCAGAAATAGAGAGAATTCAAGCAATATTACTTGATATTATATTTGGAATAATAGTGATTTGAACAATATTAGATATTATTATACTTGGAATAGTAAAGATAGAACAACATTAAATAATATTATATTTGAAATAGTGAGGATTGTACAGAAACAACTAGAGATATTGTTTATATTATTTGTCATTTATGTTTGAAACACTTAAATTTTATGTTTAGATATTTGGATTTGTGTAAAGGCATTTAAAATTATATAAAGATACTTGAAGTTCATGTGAAAAAACTTGGAGTTTATGTTAGAGATACTTGAGATCTTGTGCTATAATATTTGATACAATAATTTGGTACTAGGATATATGAAACTTGTATAAAAATACTTAAGATTTGTAAGATGATAGTAACATTATAGATGTTACTCAGTATTATATGACTGTATTATATTTCTAATAGCCAATTAAGATTCTTTTATCTATTTACTATATTGACTAACTAATAACTAATGATAAATATAATATATAAAATATAATAATAAATATATATATAACTACTAATATTATTATATAATATATTATAATAAAATCTACTTTGTAATACTATCTGCAATATCAATTATTTACCTTTACTATATTTTTTTCTTTATTAAAAGAAATGATATGTAAGTAATAGAAAATAAGAAGTTAATGGTTATCAATGTTTACAATTACCTTTTTGGATTAATTCTATGAAAAATGATCATTAAAAATTGATATTATATAAGCAGTTAATAAAATATTGAATGTTTTTGAAAGAACAGTTAGAGGCATAATAGCAGACTAGAACAAATATAATAACAATATATTTATATTTCAAAGAACTTATGAATAATCTAAATATTAATCTAATTAAAATATATCTGAATTATTGTATATAAAAATTTTAAATATTAACAAAATAAATGAACAACTTTTACATCTATTTTATATCAGTTTTTCTTAAATATAAATATTTATTTTTAAAATAGAAACTTCTTTGGTTATTACATCTTTTGGGTTATTATATTGGTAAAAGAAAATAAAAAAAGATTTTTTATAAATTATCCAACAATATTACATTTTATTATCATTACATTCACTTTTGGTTTACTAATTTAAAAGGAAAAAATGATATTTCATATCAGTCTGAGATTTTTCTTAATAAATCATATTGTTAATTATATTATATTTTATACAATATTTGACTTTCTCATCAAGATATTATTTTAACTCCTAAGCATAGTTTGTTGGTAGTAATTTTTGAAATAATTATTATATTTCAAAATAGATCTTCTAATAAATTAAATGGTAAACTTATTCCAAATTCAGAAAACTGAAAACAAAAAAGAAATAATACTAAAGAATGAAATAATATTTTAAATATAATTAAAAATGCAAATATTATTCCTGATCAAATAGATTATTATAAAAACTTTAACACACATTTTTGAAGATCTTTTTTCACATCTTGTGAAACATTTTATAAAAAATATGGATCAAATAATCATTTATATAGATAAGACAACTTATTATAAATAATGAATTAAAAACATTCCAATATCAAGTGCAAAAAAACAAATAATAATTGACTGGTTAACTGCTCATAATATTTCTTATTCTGGTGAATTAAAAAATCAGAACTTTTGGATTTAATTCAAAAAAATAAAGAAAAAATATCATTCACTTGTGTCAAAATAACAAAATAATAAAATCATCAAATTTCTTATACCCTGCCATATTACTGTGAACATCAACCCATAGAAGGTATTTAGATAGTTGTAAAGGGTAAAGTTGGATGTTCAGTCCTCCTAAAAATCTTTTGTCTGTTCATAATACACTTTTACATTCATTTAAAAAAAAATTCAATTCAAAAATTATAGTTTGGTTTTGATGAAAGGCACTTAAATATACTAAGGAATATTTTGAGCCTGACGAAAATACGCAGCTAATCGATGAAGAAATCGATAGTATTGAAAGTTCAGATGGTGACATAGATTAAACTTTTATATTTTTGTATTTCCCAATATGTATAGAATTATTTGAATAAAAATATATATATATATTGCTAATAAAAAAAAATTTTATTTACATTTTCTTGAGATGCAAATCTTTTTGCACTGATCCATAGTACCCTGACGATAAATAGCAATATTCTTTTTTTAATTTATCTTATTCATTTTACTAATACTATAATAATTTTATTTTAAATTTTGTCGGTTCGGTCGCCAATCAAAATCGAAAATCTGCCACGCATTTTTGTGCAGCATTTAGGTTAAGTTTTGATTGATGCTCATATTTTACCCTTAGAATTGATAAATTAAATTTCTGACAAATTTAAGTTCGAACTAATCAATTAGCAGCTAAATACGGCTTTAATCTTTATTATTTCTTTTTTCAATGATTATAAAAAACAATACGCTTAGTCATTAAAAAAAAAAAAAGTTCTATATAAATTTATAAAATGTTTAATTATATTATGTATCCTTCCAAAGTTAAATCACAGTCCATATTAGTTAGTTATCAACTTGCTTAATTCACCCAGAATACGTTCCTTAAATATTATCCGTCTAAGGCGTCTAATAGTAAATTAAAACCAACCCAACCATCCGACCCACATAATGCCAAGAACAACAGGATCACTTGCCAAATCAATCAAGCATTCAACTTGTTCTTTAATACTGCCACATTTTTGTGGTACACGAGCTCTAATATTATGTTCCCGATCTCCTCTAGCGATTTTTTGAATATTCTCAAAAAATAGTTTCTTTGAATGACCAAACGCCAACTCTTCACAAACAAGATCTATTGAATAATTTACAAGATAAAATTAGAATAATGAGTGATTTAAATTAACTGTTTTAAGATAAGATAACACTCACAAACAGGATTTTCACCCTCAAGTTTGCGTCTAGCAATGTCCAATTTTTGGCGTGGATACCATTCAGATGTTTGTGAACTTTCATCAAATTCACTACTTCCTGCATTTTCTAAAAATGTGTATCTATATTAGACAAATATATGTTCTGGATATTTTATGTAAAATAAAATTTAAATTTTACTTTGTTGTCGTGCTTGATTTCTTGCTCTAGTTTGCCAATCCAATAGTGGCTCTTTAACAAAGATCTCCATTGCATTAAGCAATATATCTTTGTGTGCTTGCATAGCTATGAATACATATATATATATTATATATAAAATTCATAAGTTACGTTTATCATTTAAATCAGACTTACATTGCATTATTTTTGTCATTGGATACTCCAAAAGGCCTCGTGATCCGAGCGGTTCCATTATACTTTCAAACTGCCTAGTAAGCCGGAATGGTACCAATTCTGGAACTTCAAGTGTTTCAGTCGCAGAGCCAAATGCGTGACCAAAATCAATGGAAATCAATGACCCTCTAAAGAAAAAAGTTATTAATTATATTTGATATGTATATTAAATTTCTTGAATGTTCAATGACTTACTTAGTAAGGTCAATCAAATAATTTTCCAAGTGACGGTCACCAATTCCTAAATTAAAAATAATCTTTTAATTTATATTTACATAATCAAAATATATTGAATCGGTAGTGTTGTAACTTACCAATTAAATAACCACAAATATTAATTGCCGCTAGATTTTTAACAAATTCATTACGGATTGCTAAATGAACTTCAGGTGATGCAGCAAGCTTATACAATGCTGTTTTTAAAAGATCTCTATTTATCATACTATGTAAAGTCGCCAGGTGTTTAATAATATCATCCCTGGGAGCTTTTTTCATAACATTAGGATATCCTAATAAAAATACACAATAAATAATAATTCTGTAACTCCGTAAATGGTTTTTTAGATATCTGCATATTACCATTATATTTATTCACCCAATTCATATGTTCATTTTGAGTATTTCCAATGACTGAAGTATCGGAAAGTTCTTTCTCAATAAATGACCGTAATGGTTTAGTATCATTTATCCATTCAATTATGCCCAAGCTACCAGTAATTGGAACGACCTATATGCAGAAATTATAACTATCATTAATACTGTAATATGATTATAAATACGTCAAATTATGAGAATTACACGTAACTAACCTTATATGTAATCAATTCGATTTTACGTTGAGAGCAGAAGAAATCCTTGTGCATTAACTCATTCATAACTGTGAATAATTGCTGAACTCTTTGATCTAATCGTAAATCTTCTCCTCCCTATCAATATATCTAGTAAATATTTGCATAAAACTGAAAGTGAAACGTTCGCACGAAACTTACTTTCACTAGAAATGGATATTCTTTGCCATCTGTTCCAATAATAACAATTTTTTTAGGTTTCCTTAAAGAATTCAAGACCAAAACTTTGGGATCAAAATAAGCAATCTTTATGTGTCGACTAGGATCTGGAATGCTTAATCCATCATACTGGCCTGGTATTTCAATTTCCTACATGATATAGTGAATCAACATTAAATCTATAACATCCCAAATGCGACTACTAGGCAATAAATATATATATAATACTTCATCACAGTTTGAAGAAGAAAAGTCTGCAAGCCATTTAGAATACGATTTAAGTAGATTTGCAACAGATGGCGATTTCTTTTCACCACCACGCTTTATATTTTTCATATAATAGTCCCAAACTTTTTCTCGAAATTCTGACTGAGGAAACCTTGCTAATTTAGATCCATCTCTTCCTAAAGTAATGAAAAGGTTAATTCATAATTACATAAATCATTATCATTGGTGCAATCGAAAAACTAGAAATTACCACAGGATTTTATCAAATGTTCAGCGTGCCGGTTTGCAAATTCTTTAGGTAATAAAAGGCTAAGGATTTATGATTTTATTACGTTAACTAGTCTCAATAAAGAAAATGTCATTTAAAACATTGAAGGATATCAAACAGCCCATAATGAGGATTCTGAATATCCAAGAGAAAAGTCCTCATTTTTTGAAAAGAATTTTTAATTTCTTCATATTGGTCAGTTTCTGTAGTCTTCGACCTGATCAAAGACTTAAAAAAAAGTCAGTCAACTTTTTAAATATTTAAATATTTATTCTATAAAAAATTCTTACAAAAACTGTCTGGATCCAATTCCCAAAATGAACTTCTGAATCAGTAAGTCTTTGCAATTCAGCAATCAAAGTATCTGTTATTTCACATTTTATCAATTGGTTAAGGTTTTGAACTCTTGACTTGTTAATTTCCGACTCTTTGGATTTTTCATCAAAATTGTAATGTTCACTGCTAATTTTTAATGGATAGTAAAGACTTTTTGGATATTGCTCTGCAAGCTGTTTATGTAACGTAAAAAAGACAATTAATGCTTCGGATGGTTTAAGGAAACAAAAAGCATAGAAGCTTACATTGTACAATATTGGAAAAACGCAGTGTGCAATCGGTTTGTCTAAAATGGCAACAATCTGAGGAATCCAACGAATAAATTTCCATACAGGGCTAAACGACGATACCTATGAAAAAATACAATGAAATTAAATTGATTGCCCAAAAAATATACTCTTCAATAAGATGAATAGATACCATTTGCTTAAAAGTTGATTGTGTATTATCATATATAATAATTATCTGAAGCAATCTCGGAAATAATTCAGATGCATCCTTCGAACATTCTTCCATTGCTTTTAAAACATATTGGACGACTGTAGATGCGTACAATTCACTATCAAAAGAAGCCTACACGTAATAAAATGTTAAAACCAATTTACAATATAAAAAAGACTATGCATAATAAATTTACTCTTTTTTGGTCCCCATCGGTCGATTCTAAATTCCGCAAGTAATAATCACAGAACTTTGCAAATTTAACAAATATTTTGGCTCGGTTCAAAGGCTAAAAAAATCAATCAATAGTAATAAATAATAATATGAACTTAGAGTTTTCTAACAAAGGATTTTCTCATACCTTAAGGTGTGAAGCAGCTTCCTCGGCTGTATCTTTTAAAAGATTATAACCTTCAACGATAAAATGTGCTTTACGATGTTGAATAGAATGTGTTAAATCCCGACTTTCATTATTGTCAAGTACGGCTGCTAACGTTGAATACGTTTCGCTTTCAATCACACGATTTTTCATATTAGTTTCTACATCCATAATCTAAAAATTTGGCTAATAAACGTCAAAATCCCAAAGATTTGATAATCATTGTAGGTTGAAATTTTTTATTCAATACCTGCACTTTTTTAAATTCATCAGTCATCGCTACCAAGATACTTAATTTTTTTTCAAGGTTAACGATGGTCAAAGCTTCTTGAAGATTAAGTTTCAATTGATGATAAGCCAGTTCATTATTGTCACAAAGTTTAGATTGCCTTGTTTTGTTGAGACAAACCCGGGCAACTTCAAAATTGCCTTGAACTCTTGCCGCAGATGCCATTTTAAGTAAGCCATCACGTTCCAGTGAACTTTTAACCTCATCGAACTATATAAATGATAATTTAAATAAAATTAATCTTCAGACAGGACAAATACAATGTTAGCAAACGTTACTTACGTGCATATCTCCTTGTAGTAATTTTGTCATTGAACCAAGGAGCGAGTGACGACTTGTTATTATATCATCCCAACTATTGCTAGGATCAAGCCGTTTTGATGGATACCTGTTCAGAATAAAATATTGTTAAAAATTACTATGCAGTTGAAAGTCACCTAATGCAAATTACCTGTTCTTCCATTGACTAATCAGCTTTTCCCATTTTTCTGATTTCTCAGATGATTGGGACAAATTCAAATACTCTTCCATCTCAACAATCTAACGTTAAGTAGAATTAGTTATTTTTCAAATGTATTCTTTTTAAAAAGCATATAGAAAAAAATTATTACCTGTTGCAAAGAACTAAGCTTACTCAATCGCGTGCTAGATGCTAACGGATGCAAAGTAGACCATGTAAACAAGAAATTATCATATGCTTTTCTAATATAAAAAAGCGCTTGATCTGTATCATTACGCGTTATTGATGTTAACGCGAGTTCTAAATGACAATAAGAAATTAATAATAAGATCGGATAAGAAACATAAACATTAAGGGTATATTTATTTTACCAATCGGATATTGGGCAGTTAAGAAAGATTTGCGATCTTGGTCAGATAAAGAGCGATCAATGAAATTAAAAAAGATGTCACAGTAACTAGCATCATTTTGGCCATGCACTAATTTGAACAAACTGTGCATGAAATATTGAAGATACGGATACTATAAAATTATATAATAAATTAATTATTGAACAGGTTTTGCATATTAAGTGGATTACTTAAAATTTTATATACCTGAAACTCTTGATCCCAAAGCCTATCCAAATCTGAATCAATATCCACATATACAGTTTCGACCAAGTCGTCCCATTTTGATAATTTTTCGAAACATTCAAATCTGCCTTCTTCCCAAATTGTGACCTATAAAAAGGTGAATACAGCAAGCGTGAGAAATTATCAATAAACTGCATTTAAGGTTTTAAAGATACAAACCTCAGCATCATCAGCATCTTCTACCTCGCTTAATGCTTGCAAATAAAATTCACACGCTGATGCATAATCACCTATTAATTCAGCGTTAAGAGCATCTATTCGAGAAAAAAATATGGATATATAAGAAAACACATACAATAAAAAAAATAACATAGCATACATACTCTTGGTATACTGATTGTGAGCAATATAATTTTCATATATGCTCTTATACACATCACTACTATCGATTGATTTATAAAGATGTGCTAACTCTATCCATGGTCGCTTACTTTCGGCGACGAGACCAGTATTTGTAATACGTGCTCTCTTGGGTCCTATAAGATCAATGTTTTAGCCTATTGAGTGATAGTAACTAAATATTAAATGCAAATACAAATGCTCACCCCTTTGAGTAGTGATACGCGTTAGATGTTGTTCAATTAACCCTATACCCATTGATTCTGTAGAACTAATTTCACTAGCCTTTCGAATGGCAAAAGGATCAATTTTGATATCGGGAATTTCATAACATATTCGTAGGCAACTACTAATTAAAGGTGGAAAATATGATGTTGTTGCGTTGAAAATGGTCTGGAAATTTTGTGACATCGAGTTTGTGTAATTAATTTGTTCATTAGTATCCTAAAAATAAAAACAAATGTTATTCTTAAACTATTTCAGTGCTATATGAAAGCAGTGATTTTTTTTTGTTTTACCATGCTTGTATCGTCTCTGGTGGCATCATAAATAGAAACAAATAATGTAGAAAACAAAATGCGAGAAATATCTAAGTCCCTATGCGCCAAAGCTTGTAATGGACCGATAATATCACTATGTTTAATTTCGATATCAGGAAGTTCACCTGAAAATTCAATTAATTAATTTCTTTCGTCAAGCTAGTGTTTTATAAAAAAATAATATTAAACAAACCAACTCGATATTGACGCAACATTGAAACTTGTTTTGAAACAGTATCTGGTCTAATTGAACTATATATTTCGTTTCTTTTTTTCTTCGTATATGCTAAATTCTTATAATATTCTTGCTGAGTTCCAGAATATGTCGGTAAAAACCGTCTCCGTAGTTTCTGATACTGAGAGCTAATGTAAGAAAAAAAAGTTATAATCAAACCTATCAAGTTAACTTTATAATATTAAGAAGGCAAGAATGTAATCAATACTTTGAAGTTTTGTCTGTGTCGCCTTGGATATCCTGTTTTCTTTTGCCCAATACAGGAGCATTTCCGATAGGAAACAACAAATTTGATTGCGTAAATGTCCAAGTTGTTAATTGAGAGCCAATATCATAGTTCACTAGAATTTATTAATCAAGTCAATAATTAACAATAGATGAGTTAAATATTGAAAAAATTATTTATACTTACTTGGATCAACTGTCAAGCTGAATGCATAATTTTTATTTGTCGCTCGAACAAATCCCTCTTGAATGTTTCGTTTATAATTAGCCTATTATTAGATTGCTTAAAGCTTTAACATAAAATTAAGACGTTATCAAGAAGTATCAATTTATATATGAATACCTTTGGATTGTTTTTTTGTGTGTTAACGAAAAGAGGCGTCATAGTATTACTCACTCGCCATGAAGTATCGATATTGTCATAACTATCATCAAAATTGGATTGAGGCAAAGGTTGATCAAATATAGGTTTCTTATAATCTATGCTCTTCTTTGATCCTTCGAGCAATAAAAAGCATGAATATTGTAAAAAGAGTGTCTCTATTTCAGAGCAATACAGATTTCTAAAAAAACCATAAATAAAATAAATAATGGAAAATAACTATATAAAAACAACAAAAGAATTAATCAACATACCCAACAAGTTCTCTTAATAAAGTAAACGTATCTTGAGAAAGCTCTTGTTGATCCTTCCAAAATACTGTCAATGTTTGTTGTATATTTTCATCTAAATCTGCTAACCCTCTTAACAAACTAACTTTCAACTTTTGCTTAACGTTACTTTCTTCTGATGTTTTTTTATATAACTGAATCAAGATGCCATAAAATGATTCCTACAAAATATTGTTTGGTGAAGGATTAATCAAATTTCCTAAAAGAAATTTGTACATTTATTTTAGAAAAGGATACTCGACAATCTATATTAGGGTGATCCCTGAAACTTTCAATTAATGGGTCCAAGAAATAATCTATTAAAGTTTCATCTCCTTGGAGCAGTACACCATTCAAAATTCGTAATGCTACTAATTGTTCATTATCACTCCTACAACAATTCGATTTAAAAAAAAACACCCGAACATATGAATTTAATAACAATAGATTAAATATATAGCTATAATAAAACTAAAAGATAACATGCTAACCTATGTCTAAGTAAAGCAAGAAGCTGACTTTTTCCCAAATTTGTAAGCAAATCTGAATCGCTCTCAGCGCAATATGAAATGACCTCCAAAGCAAGAATTTTCTTAACATTGAGACTATTTAGACGTGGCAAAAGATTGAAAGCATATTTTAAAAATTTCTCTGATGTAGGCCGATCATGCATCGAAATATGATGTATGCAAGTAAGAAATGTGTTGAGGTCTGTTGGTCGATTTGTGATTTTTTTGTAGAAAGTAGTGACCTAAAAGTTTTATAATTAATAATCCAGTAATATTCCAAAATAATATTTCATATTTAACAACAAAGCACCTTTTCCATAATAGGATTAAGCAAATATCCAAGCTTGTCATCAGAGCAGTGGTATTTCCGTAAATTTCTCAATGCCATACCACACACCTTAAATGAAATAATAAGAAATTAAAACGCATAAAAAAAAATTATTTAACTCAAATTATCTAACATACTTCAGCAGCAAGAGAACGTATATTGCTTTTTTCATGATCTAGTTTTCTAGTAAGATCCCAATAAAATTTATCTTCCGTCAAAGCACCAAAGTCAACCCCAACATCTTGCTGAAACAGGGACTTATCATGTGTTAATGCGATTCCATATAATTGTAAACCGGTAATAATTAGGTTTTCGTCTGAACTACTAAAATAGTCATATATAACTTGCTGAAATCAACAATTTCAGGAATTTACGTAAGATCATGTGCAAAAAAAAATCCACAATGCGATATAAATAATCGAATCATACTGTTGGTACAACAATGATCTCAGGCCATGCTTCAAACATCCCCTTAATTGCTTGAAGATTATTACGAAGGACTGCACGATTTTCGCTACATGCATTTCTCATCAAAAAATCCTAATTACGCCATACATTTGAGTGAAAACGATATTACTATTATTCTAGAATTGAAAGGATCTAAAGACCTTACCATTAATTTATAGATTAAAACTTTATCTTCAAAAGATCCCAATGTTTCGAAGGAACTCCAAACAATTATTATAGCGCAAAGGTCCTATAATTCGAATTGGAATATTAGTTAATTAAATAATTATATTAAATTTAGGTATAGTTGAATCACGATATTTATACAATTACCTGAATAAAATAGTTAATTCCCTTTCCATACATGTCCCCTTCAATTATCAATTGCATTAACCGCCGAATCCAAATTGAAGCGTACTTTTCAAACGCTTCAGGAATATTGATAATAATTTTAGCAATAAATAGGCGTATGTTTAGATGTGTCTCTGAATAAACAAATATTAAATAAATATCAAAATATATAAATGTAAAATGAAGAAATTAAATAATAAAATACATCACCTTTTTTATTGAATTTTTTATGTAAATCATTCATCCATATGGGTGTCGATTCGGAAGTATTTGGTGGTGTGATTTCAGTGTGAAGTCGTTCAATTACTCTGATAATCATTTTCATACAAGGATTGCGATTAAACGAGTCAATCTCTAATTCCCTAGGTTCTGATCTTATAAGGTTGTTGCACAAAATTATTGAGTGCAGAATATTTAATATATTAATATGCCGCGTAATATTGCAATTAAAAAATATTTACAAAGTCTTTTCTAGCTCATCGACTTCCATTGGAGCCGAACCATTATTTTCTATTTGTACATTCGCATCAAATTCTTGAGTAATTTCTTCTATCATGCTATCAAGATTGGCATTCTTGAAAACGCATAGATTAATATAATAATATATAAATAAATTAAAGATACTTAAATGTTTTGGAAGCTCATTACAAACCTGTGAAACACTAGAATCTGCCAAATATTGTGATGCAAGATATTTTAAATTATTGGGACTAAATTTTTTTTAAACAATAAAAGCAGTTTAGAAGCTCCGGATTTATTAATGAATCAAAAGGAATAATGTGATGTATACCTTTTTGTCTCATTAGATAAACCTCCAGTTCTTGTTCTAAAATCGTCAAGCTTAGTCTTAAAAAATGGTTGCTCTGAGTCTGCACTGAAATGATGTTTTGTCTAATCAAAAGACGCTATTAATACAAAATCCCAAAAGTATTTCAAACATTGCTCATTAGTTCTATTAGAGTACCTTCAAATCAACAATATTTTCCCATACAAATTCTCCTTTGAGAATATTATCAGCAAATAAAAATGTCTTATAGAAAACTGGAGTATTTTTGGCAGTGTTATCTTGAGTGCACAAAATAGCAGCTGCAAGAGCATTATACGCGGCACATCTAAGTAGCAGTTTAGCTTCTACAACTGATTCATTAGAATATTCATCCTAGTAATTCAATTATAGTTGAATATTTATATAAGTCGAAATAAAATAGCTATCAAGATGTGTTAATTTCAACTCATACGTTATCACTCTTTGACTTGATTTTATGTGCAAAGTCCATTATTATACGAGTAAGTTCTTTTGCCTTTGAAATTCTTCCTTCAAAATAACTTTGAACAATTTCACCCTTTTCCGAATAAATATCGTCCTTAGAAACTCGCAAATACATAATGTTAAAATAGTTAAAGAATTAACTATCAATGGTAAAACATGTAACGATACTGTATCAAAAACAATAAAGGATATTTGTAATAAAGTAAATGATCCAGCTTTGGCATCAAGTTCATAGATTATTTCAGAATCAGTTCTTGGATGTATATCCTGTTCAATAATTTTAATTAACTCTCTAATGTGCCTTTTGTAAAACTCTACAACAAATATCCTGGTTCCTTGCATTAATGTAGGACTTAGGATTGATTGAATTATGTTTCTATGAAAATTAGCAAATTTTGAATCCATGAAATATCTATTAATTACGAAAATCAAGTTATAATCAAATAAGATATTAATGAGAAACATGCGTTAATCGATTGATAAAATAAAATACCCAAAAGCTATTTCCAAGGTTTCAACAAACTTAGAACGAGGAAGATTAGAAACAAATTCACCCAATTTGCGATAAAACTCTTCACTATAAATATGATCATTCTCACGGACAAAGATAGGAACTAAAATTTTAAAAAGGCTAACACTACTCGATCGCACCATTGCTTTAAGTAATCCATCAAGTACTGAAATATATTCATCTAGTCTATAAAATAGTTAAGGATATAGTTTATGATACCTTACGGATACATTCATATGATCAGTGTCTGAATCAAAAGGATACTTTCTGGGCCCGCCAGACTTGTAATCTGATGACCATAAAGGAAATTGGTTATTCAAAATCTCTGAAATACATGATTCAATCTAGATAGAAGTCAACGTTTAATGTTTAGTGTTTATAAGTTTTCATATACTAAAATAAACATTATGAATGTTACCTTTTCAATTTGCATGTCAGATTTAATAAATATTGGCAAAATGTCTAAAGCTTCAGACTTAAAATCAAGTTCTATATTCTTTCCCAGGAACGATACGTATGTATTAAAGAATAATTGCTTAAAGTCATCTGAAATCGGATGCCTTAATAAATTTCGGTCCAGCTTTATAAGTCCCTTCCATAATTTCAATAAGAAACGTTGGCCTTTCGAACTATTAACACTAATGGAACAGATTATCAGAAGCCATCAGGATATTCAATGTGACAAACTTGTAATGAAAGTTTAAATTATATTTTAATAGTAGAACAGTACTTACAGCTGACTCAAGAAATGCGATGACGAAGTGAACTATAAAAAACAAAAAGGAAGGTCAGAAAATAGTCAAATACTATTTAATATCGACTTTTTTACTTACATCTTTCAAAAACGATGATATCTGTTTAGGATTTTTCCTGAAGGATAGATAATCAATTACTCCCCAAATGACATCCTTTACTATAGTATCATTAATACTCTCACAAAACATAACAGCAAATCCTTCGAAATTACGAGAGATGTGTTCATTGATCTATTTTGAATGGTTATAACCAATAAACAAAAATTTTGAATGGTTATAACCAATAAACAAAAAGGTTGCAATGGCAATTAATCGTATTTTAACTGAAATTATCACTCACGCTTGATGAAAATTTTTGATAATATAGGCTACCATCATGATAACTCACATGAGAGCTATGACTGGGAAACCCCTAAATTAGAGCAAAAATAAACCTATGAGATATGAAAATTTCTAGAGAATAAAGATTATGTAGGTATGTACCAAGATATCACTGAGAAGCCATCGATTTAAAGCATCGGGATTATTGCTCAAAACAAATGTAAGCAAATGACTTGCAAGGTCAATCCAAACAGGCTCCTGAACATTCCTAAGAGATTTGAATTTTTCCCATATCAATACTGTATATTCATGTAGAGTATTATGGCGAATTACATGTGATGGCATATAAGCAAACAGTTCTGGGAAAATCTCTGTTGTAGTCAAAATTTTAAAACCATCCGTGATATAAATGTAACTAGCAGGATCTATTTATTTACAGAAATTTGCAGAATATGATAAAGTCATGAAATAAAATATGAATGCTATAAACAAAATTTTGAGAAAAAAGATAACTTCACCTGATTTTTCTATTTCAATACAAAGTAAATCAACATCATCTGAAAACGCAATTTCGGCAATTTCTTTAAACATTGGAGTTCGCTGAATATCATCAGGACTTGATCGTTTTTTCCACAAGGTCAGTAAATTCTCCAATTTTTCTGTAAATTTATCACGTTCATTTCCACCACTATATAACAAATTCAATCCCAAACTTTCGAAATAGAATAAAGATCTGGCTATTGTCTTAAAAAATAAATTACTGAAAATGTTCGTATTCCATACATTTTGTATATCATTATTGTTAGTATATTCAAGTATAGCAATGACAAAATCTACTAAACGATCAACCATTCGTGCTTCACGATTCAACCATTGAAGTCTTTCACCAGGAGTTAAAATGTTTTCCGAATTAATCGATGAACTAAAGCTATTTTCATTATCAACGTCCATTATATCATTTGAATGACTAGAATCAACATTTAACACCATTTTTTCTAAAAAATAGTCAATTGCTTGTTGAAAAATTGAACGTTCATTTTCAATTAATACCAGTGGTGTCACGAATTTTTCTCTTATCAGCCACGTATAATTCTCCAAAACGCACAAAAAACGTAAACACCATCCTTTAGTTTTTGGAGAAGCCACACTATGGTGCTGAGAAGGTAATGAAGATAGAGTTGCTGTTTTATAAAGATTTGCCAGAAATAATGGATCTTTAGAAAGTTCATATGAAACCCATCGAGAGCCACTTTTAAATTCTAAATAAAATGCAAAAGTTAAAAGTTTCTTGAACTTACATGATATGAAATATTTATAAAATTATATTCACCTGTTAGGAACACCACAAATTCAGAAAATAATTCTCTACACATGTTTGCATAATCACGTTCTAATTTATAAGTTTCATTAAATAGCCATTTAACCAAAGACGATAAGTCAGCTTTATCAAGATTAGGAAACTTGCGCCGAGTATCTGTTTCATTTATAAACAGATCTGATCTAACAATAATTATTTTTTTCAAATGTCTAATCGCCGAGATAGCTTGTTGTCGTGTACCTTAAAAGTTTCTTTTTTAGCATTATAAAAATACTAATATTCTAAGCAATAAAATCATTGTAAAGAAATAAATACCGATAGCATCTTGATCTTGATCAGAAAGTTTCAAATTGAATAAAATCCAATATAATAATTCAAATGTGAATTGATCAATCAATGGCTCTTCTTCACGATATACACGATATATATGATTAACAGCAAGTGAAGCGCCAAGACGCTTAGTATAATCAGGATGTGCGGAAAGATTATATAGACGTTTCAATAATGACTTTATATTCATCGGATTTTCATCCATTTGCTATATAACAAATCAATATGTATCACAATCGTTATTAAATAAAATTACGCAAAACAGGTATAAAAATCCGAATACCTGAGCTGATGATTGTTTAATTGACCATAACAAGAACTCATTAAGGCATTCTGCGCCATAATCTCGTAATGAACCCCAAGTATCACATATAGCATCAAGACAGCATTGTAATAGCGCAATAGTTTCCGGGTTCTCATATTGCGCATTGTTTGTAAACCAATGTATCATTTGTGCTACAAGACGACGAAATAGTTTTCTTGGAACTTGATCTGTATCAATAGCCAAACGCAAAAGTGCTGGAAATATTCGGCGATATATACGATAAAATGGACTCTAATAATAATTAATAAGCAAATTTGTATAAAATTCTAAGTAATAGGAATTAAAAGCATAATGATGTTTAATCAGACCTTTTGTGGTCCCGCTGTACTGCGAGCTTGAAACGCACTCCTTCCAATCATAAGCAACATAATAGAATGTAAAAGTTCGCAGGCAAAAACTTTGGTTTTTCGATCAGGTGCGGATTCGGCTAGCTCAACAATACGTGGAAGGAATTCATCTACAATAATAATATTTGTGACAGATTCATACATATTTGATATCTATGTAATTTAAAAAAAGTTTAAGCTAAAATTTACCGATTGAGATTTCCACACTGGTATCCGGATATGGAATATTAAATGTTAATTTTTTATCTGGATCCCAAGCCAAAAGATTGTTTGAAGAATTTTGATCTTTAAAGCCATGAATTTTTTGTTGTTGATTTGTTCGATTTATTGCCTCACTATCAACAATGCGTTCAAAAATCAATTTACTAATTCCACCGAGTCTTCCAAGTATTCGAAGAATGCGTACTTGTAAATTATGTAATCCAGCATTTTTCTTTAAATGACCAGCCTGATAAATTTGATGAATTTATAAATTAGGAACAATAGAATTGTGGGTGACTACAATAACAAGATAACATACTATTTTAATTAAATTATATATATACCCCAACAGCTGTAGTTCTTTTTTTATTTTTATCCACAGCTCTTATTTTCTGTTTTCTGGCTTGCTCTACAGTTTTACCTCCACGTGTTAATGATTGTGCATCTGCACGAACTTGAGCAATTTCTTTAAGAGAATTGTCTATTGTGTCAGCAGTAACCAACAAATAATCGTTCAAAAGTGGTAATATTTGCCCAAGTAATTTATTAATATTTTGAGAATCTTTCATATCCAATAAATTTTCAATTGCATTTAAACCAATATTCGCAAGTGGTTGATAACTTTGTCCCAATTTCAAAGCAATACGTATTGGTGATATAAGAATATCCATATGACAAAGCTCTCTAGGAGCCGAGAGAACAAGATCAAGGCATGAAGCAAGTAGATCGTCTTTATATTGGTCAAGTCGAACGCAAACTTCTTTGAGGAATTTTGTGAAAAGAAAGTAACTCGCACGTTGTAATGAAGTCGCAGAAGGAGATAATTGATCATGCATGCTGTGAATCGCGGTCTACGCGAATCAATGAATATATCAATTATCCAATAAATTATTTTATAATGCACAGAAATTGTGGAATAAAGTATATACCTCATTATTTATTTTTTTAATACCATCAAAAAACTTTATATTTTCGCACACCTTCATACATGACCCCAGCATCTTGTAGAAACCGCTAACATAGGGATACTGCGTTGAAAATGTTATCAAGGTATCACCTGAAAGATAAACCCACCTCGAAAACAGATCGTGTCTGACCCTTGGCAAAAATAACTTCCAGAAATCTACAAGATTTTGAAAAAGTACAAAATCTTTAGAAACAACTGGTTTTAAATTATCTAGATCTCCAGAGCCTGCAATTGCTATTAAATTAGAGTCCGTATTTTTTTCAACACTATCAGAGCCAGATTCAGTAGTTTGTACTGTATCATTAGATGTTACATCTATAACATCGAAATTTAAAGTTCTAATTAAGCGAAATACAACAGAAAGAAATTCGTCATAAAGTACAGAAAAAAATTCTTTAATAGTATCATTATTTTGAGGTTCTTCAGATGAAAGACCACTTTGTCGAATAACCCATGTTAAGGTTGAATCTTTAAAAATATGCTCCCAAAAATTGAACATTTCTTGATACGTATGTTCAGTGACGGTATCAATAATTCCAGGAATATTTTCTTGAATATCAGCCTGACTTTTATGTTGAATTGCATCTGTACACGTCAAAACCATTGCTTGAAAAACTACACAAATAATAATAATTCAATATAAGTCATTTTAATATCAGTTGGTTAAATATTGTATCATATCAAAAAAAAAAAAAAAAAAAAAAAACTGGCAACGCACATGATTTGGCAACAAATTTTTGTAAAACACCCTGTCCTTTCATATATAACATCCATAATAATTGTTCATAAGCATTTGCACTTCTAAGACGTAATTCGGATATTAAACGTGGGTAATACATAAGCATTAATCCCACTTCACGTTCAATAACCTCCATCAATTCATCGAAAATAACATCAAATTCATGCCCGATATAACAATACGCTTCAACGAACAATGGTATTTGTTGAACATTCAAAGAAGTCTCTTTATAGCCCATACTAAATTAAAGTATAAGAAAGTATAAGAATCATCAGTAAATCTAATTCAAGCAAATAATAATAAAATACAAATACCTTGAAACTACCCATGAACTTGGTTTAAGCAGATCCTGGAATAATTGTTGTAATCTACCTCCTTCCATAAACTTTTTTGCAGGAGCAGCAAAATATCCGACACCTCGAACAGCAATAGAAAGATCTTTTGTTTGCTGGTCCTTTGATTCTACCTCCTGCTTTTGATCAATGTTACTAGTCTTCCATATGTTTACAAATATCGATAAAAAGAACTATGGGAAAAAAAGGTAAATTCATCAAACAATTATCCAATATTCAAATAATCATAATTACGATATACCTCCACGCATTGTTTTTCATGCTGACCAATATAATTTGAATTCAATAAAGCGGCAATCTTTTAAAATGATGACATTAAGTTTAGGATAACTAGTTACAAAACATATTAATTAAACTAAATAATTAAACTAAATTTATGCCTTTTTTAAAAATTCTCCAATAGCTTTAAATGCCGCACGTCTAACGTCTGGATTTTTGTGATCACGACATTTCCAAAGACATTCCCACACCTCACGATAATGCTTCAAGTAGTAATTCTCAAATATACTTGAATGATCAGATATATAATCAAATCCAGCTTTAATTCAGGTATAAACAATTTAATTAGCAATGTAGTTCTATAAAAGTGTATCTATAGTAAAATGAACAATAAATTACTCTTTGCTATATCATAATGACTTTCGTTTTCGACCATAGTAGTACTTCTTAAAATGCATTGAAATACATATTCCTCTTGATGAACTAAAAATCAATCACATAATAAATACCATTCTAATAAATAGTAAATATATATATTAACAACATAAACTAGAGCAAACCTTTTTGTAACGAATCAGGAAAACTAAATAAAAAATAATGTAAGCCTTTAAATGCTGCATTTGAATGATTCGGATCTTTTAACTTGTTTAAGAAAACACGTAAAATTTTATCGCGATTTTGTTCGGAATGTTCAGGAAATCTATATACGATTATGCCCAACGTGGTAAGACATTCTGCCATGACTATATCAATGATAAGAAATGTAATCAATTACACTAGAAAATAACATATAACAAAATATAAATGTATAAATATAGACCTTTAACACTTTGTTGCTTTTTACTCTGAACGAAAATATAATCTAGATATCTAATAAAATTTTCCATACAGAATAATATTGTTAAAATATTAATTTCTATTGTGATAAGCTTTTTTAAAGAAACAATAAATTAGCTACCGATGGAGTATATCCTCAATATGCATTTTTTCAGGATTAATTATTCGTACAGTTGAATCCAGCATTGCAACCATTGGTTTAAAAGAAGCAGCTCGTACAACAGCCTCGTCATTATTTTGAAGTGTGAAACACGCGTCCTATTAAGCGATATATTAAAAATTATATCTAGAATGATGAAAATAATGGTTTTTACATACCTTAATTTTGATTGAATACGGCCCTATATCAGATCTTACTTTTTGGATATAAAGAAATAGAAATTCTAAAAGAGCAATCTTTGCTTTCGAAAGCGTAGAATCAATTATTTGGGCAGTGTCTACTAAAAATTTAATTATTCCTGTTTTCGAATCAAATAGAAATTTTGACGCGAGACCTAATAAAAATTCGATAAAAAATATGGGTTTCCACAAAATTATCTTTTTTTTTGCATAACATTCAAATAGAATTAAAAAAAATACCAAGTTCTTGAACGTCAATATCATTTAATGTTATTTGTTCAATATCTTCACAATATCGAATAGCCTCGCTAGCGCTGTCAAAGAAAAGATTACTTTTCACATTTTGTATTATCCTCTGACGACAATTCGCAAGTTCTTGTAAACATTTTTGTAGTCTATCTATTGCTGACATATTCGAAAGTAATAACAGTTAGTTAATCAAAAACAAGTAGATTACAATAAACAGATTGCGTATCGTGTAATTTATAATGCTTATTTTCCACTGTGAAACAATAATGTTCACACACGTGTGTCGATCCCCCTAATAAGACAAATAATTGCAAAATTGCAACTGTTATTGTCGAATCAAAATTGACTCGTTATTTTCACAATTGCATTATGTATTTAAGAAAAGAGTGTTACTATTTCCACCCCCCCACTTTTACTAATGCCACCCCTCCCGATTTTCCGACCCCTATCCGACCCTCTTCTAACCCTAATCAGACGGATATGTTACACAAATAAAGGTCACATGACCAGAATTTTTATAAACCGTAACTTCAAAGTCACGCAACGTATATTTGTGTAACATATCATTTAGGGTTCGGAGATCGGCTAGATCATGTGGAGTGGAAATAGTCATTCTCTAAGAAAATTATATATAAACTTAATAGAAATTTGTTTATATTTAATTTTATAAAAAATTTTATTAAGTTAACTATTTTTTTTTTTTTTTTTTTTTTTCGGTATTAAGGTGACCTCTTTGGTCCGAGCTTTTTATTAATACTTATAGCGGGTAC